GGGGGGGGGGGGGGGGGGGGGGTGTTTGGGTGGGTGGGGCTGGCTGGCTGGTATTTTAACCTTTGCCTGTTTTCCTGTTTGTGGGGGTTTTTTTTTTGGCCTTTTGCTATTTTCCTTTTTTATTTAACCCTATCCTATTACCCTTATTTTGAATCTTTCTAATTCCCCCTTTCCTACCTCCATATTTTGAGTCAATTTGTGTTTTGATTCTGTCCTCCTCCTTCCTGCTCTGAGACCATACATTAAAAAGACTAATGCAGGGTTGGCCTGGATTGCCTGCCAAATCTCTGGATTCTCCACTCCAGGACACTTCTGCAGAAGGTGGTGAGGAGTGGAATTGCTGTTTAATAGGGCAGGAATCATATCAGTGCCTGGAAGTTACTAGCTCCTTTGCTCCAGAGAACCTCACCAGGTAGCAATAGAATGTGGGCCTGCTGCTACTAAAGCAGATAGGCCTGCTATTTCTCTCCAGAAGTTCCCGTCTTCTTCAGTCCAGGGCCTCTCCTACATAGTCTGTTAGGGTGAGGAGAGTGGGTCTGGTGCCTTGCCTGTGCCCTTGATATCTGTACTCAGAACATTTTTGAAGCATTTTCCTTGGTATTTCTAGGATTACATTATATCAAGTACTAATTTGGGGAAAATGCCAATTTTGCTACCTAGCAATTCCCTAATAGTCTTTTCCCTTTGCTTCTTTTTCAGTGTGTTCTAGCAAGTATCATTGTTGTGGGTCTAAAGGGAATGCTAATGCAGTTCCGTGATTTAAAAAAATATTGGAATGTGGATAAAATAGATTGGGTAAGTGAAATGTAACCTAAGGATGTTTTCCAGACAGAGGCTTAAACACATGCTTGCTAAACAAAACCTTAATACTGCTTTAGGCTGAGAACACATATGCCAGTGCAAGCCAGTTTTTTATATACTGCCAGCTTATTTTCTCAATCACAAAATAGCAGAATTTGACATTTTAATTGCCTTTATAAGAAACAGGAATGGAATTTTGGCAAATTATTAAGGATAAAGCATAATTTAAGACAAAAAAAAGTGTATGCAGTCAGACCTGGTTAATCAGAATGGATTTAGAATGTCCAATTTTGTATGTATACAAATCCCTTGGTTAGCTAGTCAGCACAGTTTTGCTGTGGAAGTGTAAAAATTCTGGTATTCTACCCTGGTACGTGGAATGAAAACTATACAGGACATATAGAAATGAAAGTACAAAAGATGTGGAAACAGATATTGTGTGCTTCTAATGATGTTGCGTAGATCTTAATCCAGATGAAAATAGTATTGGATATGGTGGAAGCTTTCCCGTTTGCAGAGTAAAACAGATTTAGTTTGGTTAAAACAAAAGACTCCATAGCAAGGAATGTGAAATGGAGCTAGGATGACCCTATGTCCCTATTTTATAGGGACAGTCCTGATATTTGGGGATTTTTCTTATATAGGTACCTATTACTCCCCACCCCTGTGCTGATTTTTTACTGCTATTGGGTCACCCTAACTGGAGCAGATTGGTGAAACAAAAAGTAATGCAGAGTCATACTCTAATAGAAATCAGAACAGGACACTAGTATTCACAGCAAAGAACCCCTATCAAATATTCAAAGCAAATATGGCTGACATTCAGTCAACTGGTGGTGGTGGTGATTTGTTGAGTGTTGGTCATGTTTCAGGAGGGCCAGTAGATTTCCCTCACTGAGGGAGCCATTGAATGTTCCTTACAAGGCTCTATGTTATAGCTATTGGTTTGGACATATCTTGAAACATTTTAAAGCCTGTTTGTGGTCACTGTATGTACTTCTGTTAAGGAGTGTTAATGGTTGCATCCTTTGTTATGTTTATGGGAGGCATCTTAGATTCTTCTGGTCTCTTCAGGGAAATAGGATCTCAGGTGCTATAGCAGAAGCTCTTCACAGGAGTTGCATTAAAAATCTGGACTGATAACTTTTAGGGACAGTTCAGCTGGGTGATAATTTTCAGACTGTAACAGAGGAGGAGGATCACTGGGTCTCATCCACAGGTGTGCCAAAGTCTTTTATGAATTCTGTGTGCTGCAAGTGGTAAAGTTCTGAGCCTGTGTGGTACAACCCACATTCTAGTCTGTCCTTCACACACTTGACACTGGTTGCCAGAGTTCCCAAGTGATCTGTGTGGATGATGTGGAGAGAGGTTGTATTTCTGGACAAGTAAATTGATGTCAGTTGGTAGGAGACTATAACTATTCCATCAGCACGTTATTCTAATGACTAGATGGTGTTTTCTACCAGGATATTCTGGACGCTCACCTGACTCAATCTTTCAGAGGCAGATTAGCCTGGTTGATTCTTTTTCCCTTGTGGGAAGGTTAGAAAGCTTTGATATCTGTTTAGAGGAAGTGAAGATCAGACAAGGCTATGAGCATGGTTATCACACCCAGGTTATCAACTAACGTTAAGATAAAATCAAGAGTGTATTCAGCTGTGTGAATATGCCTGGAATGTACCTTGGAGAATCTCATGCTTACCATTGTGGACATGAGGTCCTGAGCCATTGGGATGTGGATGTTGTCAACATAGGTGTTGAAGTCTCCTAGGAGAATAATTTAGGTTATTCCAGTGCCAGGCTTGTCAGTAGTTCTGTTAGTTCCTAAAAGAACCAAGAAGGCTTGTGTATTGGACAGTAGAATTCCCATGCTGATTCCATCTCTGTATTCTTGTTTGTTGAATATATTAGAACAATAATTCATCTTTGGCTAGCTGTATCATCCCCTCTGTTCAGTCTTTATAATGAAATGGTAAAGAATATTGCTCTAGATCGGGGTCGGCAACCTTTCAGAAGTGGTGTGCCGAGTCTTCATTTATTCACTCTAATTTAAGGTTTCGCGTGCCAGTAATACATTTTAATGTTTTTAGAAGGTCTCTTTCTATATGTCTATAATATATAACTAAACTATTGTTGTATGTAAAGTAAATAAGGTTTTAAAAATGTTTAAGAAGCTTCATTTAAAATTAAATTAAAATGCAGAGTCCCCCCCAGACCGGTTGCCAGGACCCAGGCAGTGTGAGTGCCACTGAAAATCAGCTCGTGTGCTGCCTTCGGCACACGTGCCATAGGTTGCCTACCCCTGCTCTAAATAGTATAATTCAAATCGAAAGATTGTCTTCTTTTGTAAATAGAAGTGTTGATCTTATATAACAGAATTGTTTGAGGAGATCCATCAAGACCAAGTAATATGAGTGACTACAGTTAGTACTGATTTTGGAATGTATTGGATCCCAGCAGCAACTTACAGTATATTGGAAATGAAAACAGTCTATTGCCTAGGTTTTTAAGTGTTTTGAAGATAGGAACTATACTAAAAACATTTAGAAATAATTAGCAACTGTCCTTTTGGAACAGATGTGAATAAAGAGCATTTAAAAGGGTGTGTCTCATGTAACGTAGAAGTCAAGATTGTTATTCTCATTGGTTTGGCAAATGCAGTGTCTAGAAATAGAATATTAGATACTATGTCAAATTATTATCTTTTTCTTTCATAAAAAGGGGAACTAAGAGGACCCCGGGGAATTATAGACAGGTCAGACTAACTTTGTTACCCGGAAAGATACTAGAACAAATGACTAAACAATCAGTTTGCAAGCACCTAGAAGATAATAGGGTTATAAGACATAGCCAGCATGGATTTGTTGAAAACAAATCATGCCAAACCAACCTAATTCTCTTCTTTGACAGTGTTACTGGGATAGTGGATAAGGGGAAAGCAGTAGACATGATCTATCTTGATTTTAGTAAGGCTTTTGATACAGTCCCACATGACATTCTCATAAGTAAACTAGGGAAATGTAGTCTAGATGAAGTTACATAGGTGCACACCTGGTTGAAAGACTGTTCTCAAAGAGTAGCTATCAATGGTTCACTGTCAAACTAGGAGGATGTATCTAAGTGGGAACCCACAGGGGTCAGTCCTGGGTCCAGTACTATTCAATATTTTCATTAATGACTTGGATAATGGGGTGAAGCATATGCTTATAACATTTGCAAATGACACCAAGCTGGGAGGGATTGCAGGCACTTCAGAGGACACAATTATAATTCAAAACAACCTTGACAAATTGGACAATTAGTCTGAAATCAAGAAGATGAAATTCAATAAAGACAAGTGCAAAGTACTTCACTTATGAAGGAAAAACAAATGCACAACTGCAAAATGGGGAATAACTGGCTAGGTGTAGAACCGCTGAAAAGGATTTGGGGAAGTGGATCACAAATTGAATATGAGTCAACAATGTCATGCAGTTGTGAAAAAGGCTAATATCATTCTGGGGTATATTAATAAGAATGTCATGTGTAAAACATGAGAGGTAATTGTCCCCCTCTACTCAGCACTGGTGAGGCCTCAGTTGGAATACTGTGTCCAGTTCTGGGCTCCACACTTCAGGAAAGATGGGGACAAAGTGAAGAGAGTCCAGAGGAGAGCAATAAAGATGATAGAAGGTTTAGAAAACCTGACCCATGAGGAAAGGTGAATAAAACTGGGCATGCTTAGATTTGAGAAAAGGCGACTTAGGGGGGTTCTTCAAATATATTAAGGGCTGTTGAGGATCAATTGTTCTCCCTGACCACTGAAGGTAGGAGAAGAAGTAATGGGTTTATAATCTGTAGCAGCCCACCAGTCATAGGGAGGAAAGGAAAGGGGGATCCCCTCCTCTGGCTTTCAAACATTCCCCCCCCCCAACCTTTCCAAGCTCATCATCAGAAGCAAGCTCCCTCCCCATAGACCAGGACCGACCAACTCAAAGTGGTATCAGATCCTTCCAGAACAACAGATGCAAAACCTGATGACATATTTCCACTGCTACAATGATCAGCACCGCTCACACACACCTTTCAGGATCCATGCATCCTGCACATGTCTATCACAACACGTGGTGTACCTCAAACCAGTGCACTAAATGCCCCAATAGCAACTATGTGGGCGAAACCAGATAATCACTATGCGCTCGAATGAACTCACACAGGAAAATGATAAAAGACAAAAACACCACATCACCTCAAGGTGTACATTTGTCTCATTGTACATCTGGCCTATCAGTCCCAATCTTCAAAAGAAGCCTGCACAATATTTTCAAAAGATGAGCCTGGGAGCTTAAATTCATAACTTAGCTAGATACTAAAAATCAAGGATTGAACAGAAACACTGTATTTATGGCTTATTACAGCAATCTGCTGCAACCCACTAATAATGCCCTGCTCCCCACCAGCTACTTCCCCTCTGCCCTTCCTTTTCTCCTTATGACTGGAGAGGTGTTAATGGGCCACTTCACCTTGAATGGTCCCTTGAAATATGTGTTAACTACTTAAGGTAAAAAATCTGTTCCACCTTGTATTTAGCAGTAACACTGAATTAGTTTCCCAGACCTGCAGAAGAGTTCTGTGTAAGCTCAAAAGCTTGTCTCTCTCACGAGCAGAAGTTGGTCCAATAAAAGATATTACCTCACTATAGGCGACGCATGGGGGGCATGCGGGGTCCAGTGCCCTCCCCCCCATCCCCCAATTTCTGCTCAACCTGCTGGGGAGGGAGAGGGCTCTGTCCTTCTTCCGCCATGCCTGCCCCCCAGCACATTTGGCCCTTTCCCTGGCAGCTGAGCCTGGGCAGGAGCAGAAGGGATGGGACCAGCTGCTTCTCATGCCAGCTGAGGGTGGCCGCTGCTGTGTGCAATGCGGCGACTGCCTGTGAGAACCTGGCTGGTGAGGCAGCAGGAGCCCACACCGTCTGTTCCCTGCCTGGCCCCAGCTGCCGGGGACGGGCCGAGCAA